ATAAAAAGAAACGCGCGGTCAGGATACGGTTTCCTATTCTGAGTCAAGGCAGAAAAGAGAGTCAGAAATTCCAACCCAGAGGGTCAGGACGGGCTCCAGGACCTCTTGAATCACATCTGAAACATGTTCCCCATGCTCCTTTCTCCTCCCTGTTCTTACAACCGGCCAACTGGGATTACACAACATGCACTAATTTTATTCCACATGTGCCTGTTTCTTATTAGCAGCCTGGACCTTATTTTTTCCTGTGCCATGTCATCTCTCCTGATTCAGGTGAGTCACCCCACTGCTTCTCAGGGGGATTCTGTTCACCGTCCCAGCTGGACCTGGGGGGGAAACTCGTACGCTCCATCTTTTTCCTAAGGTGCAAACCTTTATCTTTGCCGGCCTGTCAGTGTCTCTGCTCCCCCTCACATCCCGGCTTCCCCTTTCTGAAGAGCCCCACTCAACAGGAACCGCTGAAAAAGCGAACATATGAGTCCGTCCCCAGAAAGCTTTCTGGTCACCCAATACCCAACAACTGTTTCTACGGGGTTTTGTTTTCTCCCCCTCTGGACTGGCGTGTTTTCTTTTTTAACTGAATTCACCAGATGTTTTGGCTTTCCTGTCTTCCAAGTGGATGAAATAGGATCCAAATCACAGCACGTTGCCTCAGCTCCTCCGACCAAGTACTTAATGGTTCTTGAGAATAATGTAAAGATTGAGTTCAGTTTCCTTGAGGCCCGGGGACTATCGGATCCAGGTGTTGGCATTTTCCGGCCTTCAAGGCTTTAAAATGTTTCTAGGGAAACCCCAGATTCACGAGTTTGAGTCGATTTTCCCACTGTTGCCTTACTCCCTCGTTTTTATTTCTCTGGCTGTGCATCAGAAACTGCACCCTAAAACCCCCGTACCGGGTGAGAGGCGAGACTTGCACACGCATGGTCCAAGCACATCTGGAGAAGAACTGCCCTGAGTTTCTCAGTGGCCTTGGAGTCCCAGGGCCCCCTGAGCCAAGGGGCTAGCAGGGCGCCCTGGGAGCCTCCGCTCTCCCTCCGCCCCATGCCCTGTTTTACTCAGAACAAGCCCGAACATGCCATGCTACCTCGCCAGGCCTTGCCAAAATCCGCGAATGGCACCCAGCACACATTAAACAGATGGAATGCAACATACATGTGAAGAAATAAGAGCCCTGCCAGGAAAGTTGGCAGCAGCTCTGGAATGCTTTAAACAGTGTGTGTGTGGGTAGAAGGAGTGAGCCCAGAGTCGTCCAGGCTGCCTCCTTCTCAAGAGCTGCTTCTTTTACAGCCATGACCTGTTTTGCCAGTCAAAATAAATACGGTGTTAAATGCCCCCTTTTACTGGCTCCTGATACCTTGGCAATGCAGTTTGAAATATGACCTGCTCCCATTGGAAAAATGTCCTTTTAACTGAGTGGAAAGGATGTGCCCCTTCTAGGTAGTAAGTAGGAGGGTCACGGATTGGGGGGGGACCTTCAGCCCACAGACATTCAGGAAGAAGAAACAGGAATGGCCATGGAGTCGACACTACTCGTTCTGAGTCCCTTCCTTTAGAAGGTCCTTTGCAGATGCACAGCAACGCCTTGGCAGTGCAAGGAGGACTTTCAAGCTTTCTGCCACTTTTGGCTGCAGCCAGGAGCACTCAAGTGCCCAGGACGGCTGTTTATCTCATGAGGCACCTGGAGAGAGCGAGGCAGTAGCCAGCAGGACCACAGGTTCAAGCCACTCTGGCTATTTCTCTTTGTGGGTTCCCTACAGCCACGGTCACTCCACAAGTGCACCAGCATCTCGCCAGGTGCCGGGAATGCTGGATAGATCGGCCCCAATGGGTCATCGACGCAGCCACTCATAGGCACTTTCTGCATAGCAGGCACATCAGGTGTATCTTCTGAACCACCCCATTATCTCACAAGGTAGGTATGTTATACCCCTATTTTACATATGAAGAAACCAAAGTTCAGAGAGGTTGAGTCACTTGTCCAAGATCACATAGCTGTTATAAGGGGAGACGTAATTTTACCCCATGTCTGGGTGTAATGAACAGGTGGCAAGAAGCCCAGGCTGACTTCTACCAGGAAACCTGCAGAATCTTCTCCTTCATCCTCAGAATGGCCCAGTGGAGGCAAGTTGCTGCATTCCCCATGCAAGAGGCCTTGGGATGTGTTCATTTTCTCAGGCGATGGTAACAAGTGATCACATGCCGGGTGGCTTAAAGCTACAGAAATTTGAGGTCTGGAGTCAAGGCGTTGGCAGATCCATGCTCCCTCTAAAGGCTTTAGGCGAGGATCCTTCCCTGTTTCTTCCAGTTCCCAGTGGTTGGCTGGTGTCTGTGCTGCTCCCATCTCTGTCTGCAGTCATGTAATCTTTCCAGGGCTGAGTCTTCTCCCCTTCCTTTGTCTTCTTTGGGCATTTATATCAGACTTGGGGCCCCTCGAACCCAGGATGTTCTCATCCCAAAGTCCTTAACTTAATTGCATCAGCAAAGATCCTTTTCCCAGCAAGGTCACATTCCCAGGTTCCAGGGATTTGGCTCTGGGAATTGGTGGGGGGGGGGCGGGGGGAGTGGGGGGGGTGTGTATGTGAAGGGTGCTTTCCAGTCTACCATGTAAGGAAACGATGAAGCATTTTATTCAATAAGGGTCTTTCTGATTTTGCGGATCTGCAGGGCTTATCGCAAAATTTAAAAATATTTTTGCCACCCCATTTTCTCTTTTTAAAAAGTGATTGCAGTGCCACAACACTGAATGAACTCTCACCAAACCCTGGCATCAGTGAGCCTCACTCAGTCCTCCCAGTACCCTGCAACATACACACTGTCCTCTATCCACCGGGCAGAGTAGGAAACCCCAAGGAGAGGTTAAAAGCCTCATCCTGGATCACACAGCCAGGAACTGTGGTAAGGATTCGACTGGAACTCTAATCTGTCTGACTCTGGAATCCAAGTTCTTATGCAGGATGAAAAACTGCCTTTTCTCGGAAATTTAGGACTTGGAAGACTGTGGTTTGGAAGGGGGTGGAGGTGTGGGGCAACAGGACAATTTATGCATGTTTAGCCAAGAATTAATCTTGGACAGAACATCCAGAAAGGCTGAAAAACAGGCACTTGGATAGTGGAGGCCATTGAAGAGGTGATTTAACTACAAAATCGAAGACCACTGTACTCTCTCTCATGGCTGAAATTCCTGCAGAGAAACAGGAAGTTGGAGGCAAATGAGAAAATGCCCATTAGAGCTGTCTTACAGATTTCGGTTCAGTAACATCTGCCAATGGTTATACACTTGTTGCAGGTAAATCTTCACTGCTGTTGTACCCCAGGAGACCAGATAGATCCCAGAAGGCAAAATCAGAACTGCTTTTTTGAGGCTGGCTGTGAATGGGTGGTGACTTCCTCCCTGTTGTCTGATGGCCACGTCTACTATTTAGGCTCCCTGGTGAAAAAAATCTGATTTTTCTTTCAGCCACAGCTGCTGATGGTTAAGTGTTTTTGCAGGCATTGTCTCAGGTGAACTTTGCAATAACCTTGTGAAGGAAGATCAATCAATAGTTGGCCTGATGTTCGTCATTTGTCCAAATGTGCCAACCAGCAAGTTAACAACTCTCCAGTTTGCCTGGGTCCAGAGTCTGAGATCTCAGTCACTGTAATACACTCTCTTTCCAAACCCATGGGCAAAGAATTCTCCATTTAAGAAATCCAGGTAAGATAAAAAGGAAATTCAGTCACCCATTCATTCACATAGTCATTCATCCATCCACACACATGTGTCTGTCTGGACCATGTGCCAAGAAAGCCAACAAGAAAATCCCTTCCATCACACCTGTGTGTCTGAGTTGTGTGTGTCAGACACCTTGCTGGACTCAGACAGGAAGTCCTGGCCTCAGCCTTAAAGAGATAGAGGAGACAGAAAAGTGTATCAATTAACAAGTGTGGTAAATGCTATCATAGAAATAAGGCAGGAGAGATGCAGAAGGAACAGGGGTCAGAGAAGACCCTTGAGTTAGGATCTGAAGGAGAAGGAGGAAGATAGCCTGCATTTTGGGCAGCAAGTTGACTCTTGGCAGACACACTAATATGACCACAGCCGTTAAGGTATTTGATTATCTCTATAACTTAATCATAAATAGCCAATACCCGAAGCCCACCAAATGCCCCCACCCACCCTCTCTCAGGATCTGTCCACTTTCCCACTATGCAGAAACAAAAGGGTTAACACCTGCTACAGCTGGAAGTGCCAGAAACTCTGCTCCGTTTGGCTTCTTAATCCTGTCTATTGGGTGCTGATGCCATACTGGAGGTTGCATATTTTAATTATTCACTCCTGGGCCAGGGAGCAGTTGAGTAAGAGGGCACAGAGGTATGGGGGCATGCTGGTAGCCAGCACGGCTGGAGCTGAGACCAGATGATTAAGAGCAGGCCTCTGGGAAATAGTGATATGTGACACATAGTTTTTATCTTGAGAATAATTGAGGCTTTTAAAGGCATGCTATATTTTTTTTTGATGTGTAATTAGACACAAAATAAGCATTCCTTTAAAGAGTATGGTTTGATGAGTTTTGACAAATGTTGACCCTCAAGTGATCACCATGCCTATGGAGATATAGAACAGTTTTCTTCCTCCAAAATGTTCCCTCTCTCCCATCCACAGGAGGATTTTAAGCAGGAGAGTTCCATAGCTACACATTGCATTTTGCAGGTTTGTGTTGGAAAATTCTCTTGCTCATTTCCTGAGTCACTCTTTATGCTATACACTCCTCTAACTATTGAGAAGAGGGATGGAGGACATATTTGGAGGGGAGATGTCAAACACCATCAATGGTTTGGACAGCTGGCTTTATGGGTGTTTGGCCTATGAAGTCACATGAGGCTCCACATTTGGTTTTATGCTTTACTGTCACCGTCTTGAAATTCTTAATTTTTGAACAAGGGGATTCATGTTTTTGTTTTGCAACAGACTCCACAAACAATGCAGCTGGGCCTGATGTACAATGGGAATTACCAGGGAGCCAAGACAGGATAGAGAGTCTTACAGAGAAGACCTCAAGAGGAGTAAAGGTAGAAGCCAGACCCATAAGGAGTGAATGTGGCAAAAAGGATCCTATTCCCCAAAGTTCTCTTTCGAGGACAAGCATAGAGTGTGAGAAATGATCAGGTTCTGAATCTCACCTCTGCTGCTCTTCCTATAATTCTACCCACAGCTCCAGTAAATGTGTATGAGCTCAATTAATTACAAAGACTAACGCATCTGACAAGCCAAATATTAGCTCGCGAGAACTGAGTGCACTTATAAGTATTAAGTACAGATACAAATAATTAACAATAAGCTCACTGGCATTATTATCTTCTAATTAACTGTAAAAAAAATCACACCTTAATCCAAAGCAAAATGAAAACAAAAGGAAAGCAAGACCTCTGCTGGTGTTATAAACGGAGGTGATATAATAGAGATATGGGTTTCTGGATTTTAATTTGCACTAATGATGGATTTAATCAGACTACCTTCACTGACGTCAAAGCCAAAATAAATGCCTTGGTCTCTATTTCTCCCTGCTGGGGCCAGATGTCCAATGGGAAGAGTTTGGCAGACACCTTCCAGGAGGCATAATTACCAGAGGCAAGAGGAATGATGTTGGCATTCCACGGGAAAAATCCATCTCTATCAGCCTCAGAAACGACCTCTTGTCTCTGGAATTTGGAGCAAAGAGAAGGTGAGTTGAAAGGAATCCAACTGTCTCTTGGCAATTGATTCACCTTCCTGAAAAGGATTTTGGAGTTGAGCAGTTCAATCAAAAACTCCAAAATAAATACCTGGACTGCAATGATAAATAATTTCCAAAGCCAAGTAATTGAGAAACAAACATTTTCCCAATTGAAGTTGCTTTCCATAACTATGAGAAAGAAGTTTTTGCAATTATGCGAAAAACTTGGCCCTCAATTTCTATTTTGATCTAAATTATGTCATTTTGCTGCTTTGGAATCCCCAGTTCTCTGGATGGTACAGGAGCTCTGGTCTCCATTGTGTTAAAGCCTCGTTACCTTCAGTGGCCTTGTAACTCACTGCCAATCCCAGGAAATTTAATAGCTTTCCTCTTGTTCACTTTCTTTTTAGCTCCTGATCTGCCCCTACAGGGGAACATACTCTGCCCACCCTGATAATAATCGTGGCACCTATGATTCTATGCTAACTACATTCAGACTCTGTGATAAGAGTTTTGCCCACATTATCTTATTTAATCCTCCCAACAGGAAATTGTGTTGGCTCTACCTTCTGAATGTATTCAAATCCCATTTGTTTCTCACCACCTCCATGCTACCAGCCTGATCCAAGACCACCTAGATTACTGTGGTCTGCCACAAACTGGTCTCCCTGCTGCTGTCCGTGTCTGTCCATGGCCTATTTTTAACACAGCAGATTAAATGATGCTTTTGAAATAGAAGTCAGCTCAGGTAGAAAAACCTGCAAGGGCTTCCTATGTAAGTAAAATCCAAAGTCCTCATGGTGGCAAAGTCCTCACACAATCAGCTCCTTCTATTCTCATGCACTCTGGTCCAGGCAACCAGTCTCCATGCCTTTCCACAAACAGGGCATGAGATTCCTGCCTCATGGCCTTTGCATTCTTTTCCTTCCAGATGCTCTTATACCTTTTCTTCCTGAAAGACATTGTTCAAAAATTACCTTTTTAGTGACCATTTCTGTATTGTTTTATGGCTTATGTTGATAACACCATTTAGAATGCAGCCATTTTGTCAGCCCTCCTATTCTACCTTTTTCATAAAACTTATCACTATATAAATACCTTGTAACTACTTATTATGTTTATTGGTTTTTGTCCTCTCCCACAAAGACAGGGATTCTTGTCTTAGTGCTCATAAACATTTGTTACATAGTAGGTGCACAATAAATGTTTGTTGAGCTAATACATGATTCACAAAGTAAGTCCTATAATCAGGCCCAGATTATAAGAAAGGAAACTGAGGGACTCAGAAAGGTCAAAAAATTTTCCCAAAGTAAGTTAGTTAATAGCAGAACCAGCTACTACTAACCCAAAGCAACTCAATTACTAAGTTTTACTTATCACAAGTTAAGTCTACTTTAAAATAGGCTGATTATCATGGGCTACTATTCAGCAAAGTCCATTTAACGACCCTGCTCATCTGGCAGGATTTGGTCAGACACTTGAACAATTCAGTTAGTCCTATTGTGAACAGGAATAGTCAGAATTTCTACAAGTGTTACGGAAAGGGAAGCTTACATGAGAAATCCTGGATTAATCATTTGATTAATGTATTTTGAATAACAGTTCCCCAAGTGCTCATGTACTAGCAATGTTTGGAATATCCTAGAAGTGGAATCTTAGCAGATGGTTTTTAAAGTATAGCTAGATAATTACATGGTAATTATCTTCATCTCTGAACTTAACTGCTTGGACTCAGGGGATATAATAGAGAAACACAGGGGAGGTTTCCCCACTCATGGCATGTCATCTATGGTCAGGAGACTAGCCTTTGGGGGTTTTAAGAGCAAATCCTGATAAGTTAAATATAGAATTACCCTATGACCCCACAATTTCACTCCTAACCCTGAAGAATTAAAAACAGGTGTTCAAACAAAAACATGTGCAAGAATGATCATAACAGCATTATTCATAATATCTAAGAGAGATAAACATCCAAAGTGTCCATCAACTAATGAATGGATAAAGACATTTTGGCCTGTCCATTCAATGGAATATTATTCAGGCATGAAAATGAATGAAGAGCTGACACGTGCTACAACATGGATGAGCCTTGAAAACAGTATGTTAAGTGAAAGAAATCGCTCGCCAAAAACAACATATGGTACGAGTCCAGTTTTATGAAACGTCTAAAATAGGCAAGTCTATACAGACAGAAAGCAGATTAGTGGTTTTTAGGGAATGGGGGAGGGAAAAATAGAGAGTGATTTTATGGGCGCAGGATTATCTTTTGGAATGATGAAAAAGTTCTAGAACCCCAGAATGCTGATGCTGACTTAACATTGTGAATGTACCCAAGCCACACAATTCTATACTTTAAAGTGGTAAAAATGGTGCATTTTCTGTTTTGTGTATTTCATCTCAATTTATTTAAGAGCAAATCTTTAAATACTGGCCTTGGCAACAGGTTGTTTTAGTTTGGTTCTGATTTGGGTAGGCAGGTCACTAAGAATGAAGTCCTCTTGTGGCAACTGTGGACTCAGGAGGACTATGACCTATCAGATTAGGTTGTTTAACAAACTTGCACTTATGACATGATTCACTGGTAAGCATGTGGTGTGGAGGCATGAATCTTTGTAGCCTCAGAAATTGTGCCAAGCCTAGCAGAGTAGTGTTCAGACATGCTGCAAAGCCCATTCTTTACATCCCTTTTCATTACCAAAGTCATATACCTTTGTTGTAAAAATTCTAAACCAAATAGAAGGCAAATTTCCTCTTTCACCTGTACTGTTTCTACCCCTAGTTTTAGCCACCACCATCTACAATATGGTGTGCATCCTTTCATATCTTTCTCATGTACAAACATCTACATATAAATGTGCATATCACTGTTGAAGTTTCTTTTTATAAAAATGAACTCATACTGTAATGTACATTGGCCTGCACCTTGTTTTTTTCCCCACTCAGTATCTTAGCACCAAAATTTTTCCATGTGAATACGTACAGATTTATCTCTTTCCTCTTAATCACTAAGCACATGGATAGATCACCATTTATTTAACTACTCTCTTCTTGTCTTGCTTCCAGTTTTCACCATCACAAACCAGGTTGCAGGGAACACCCTGTTCACATATTCTTGCATACTCGTGGGAGTTTTTCTGTGGGAGATTCCTAGAAGTAAAATTGCTGGGTGGAGGTAACATTCTTTCTGTTCTGTGACTTTTTTAGAGCATGTCAATTTGGGACACAAATGTATATTGTTTCTGACCTTAGGACAAAAAGGCTAGACCCTTCGAACTTATGATCAAGCTTTGCTTAGCTCCCCATTCCACCCTGCATCTTGCAACCATAGCTATTTTCATTCATTTTATAGGTGCACTGTCTCCAGATTGACTCCAGCAGAGGGAAAAGAAATCAGGTTCTTCTGTGCCATTCTTCAAACATTTAGAGGAAATTGATTTTCCACATGGGCTGGAGCCAAGCGAGGGATGAGCGGCACAGAAGTCCCGCGACAGGCTATTACTGTGAGCACTTGCAACAATTAGGCTCAACCCAACTTGAGATATTTTATTAGTGAGTGTAATTCCTCATCAGGCTAATATTGCAAATTGCCAAAAGCAGCAGCAGTTCTAAAATAGGATTTCCTTCATAATCCCTTTAAAGGGAAGAACTTGTGGAGACTTGAAGTATCTGAAGAAAGAGAGCTTTTGTTCTCCTGAGCAAGGACAAAAGGCAGTTGGTCCAAGAAGCAGATGGCTTGCCTTGCCTTTCTGCTGTTACCTTTCTAAGGTGCTTTCTCGTGGCATCAGCTGCGATGCTGTCACCACACAGAATGGGAAAGCAGTGTCAAGCTGGCATGGGTAACACAGCAGTATCATGTGCCTCTTGAACCCCAAAATCCCCAAGTGAGGTGAAGTTTAAGGTTGGCTGGTTCAACATCTCAACGATGTTGTTGGGAATCCTGGTTCTTTCTCAATGGTGGTTCTAGAGCCAGACTGGTATTGAATTCAAGGCCACCCTTTAATAACTGTATGACCTTGGACAAATTACTTAACTTCTCTGCGCCTCAGTTCTCTCATCTGCAAAAAAAAAAAAAAAAAAACAGGAAAATCATAGTATACCAACTGACAAGGTTGTGAACACTGATGTAAGGCTGAGCAAACTTTCTCTCTAACAGGCCAAATAGTAAATATTTTAGGCCTTGCTTCAGGCCAGGCGCTTTCTGTCTGACTACACTGCTGTTTAGCAGGAAAGCATATATAGAGCAGGTGAAGGAGTGCTCATGGATACCGAAAGTTGAATTTTGCATGACTTTCATATATCATAAAATATTTCTGTTATTGTTCTCAAAGCATTAAGAAAGGTAAAAATCATTCTTGGGCTGACAAAATAAGGGAGGTTATCCCCTTCTAAATGCATCTAATGCATTTAGAATAGTCCCTGGAAAGATTTAAATGTTCAAATAGAAGTTTGTTGCTGTTATTGTTGTTTTTATTATCATGTGTTATTTATTATTATTGCCAACCACCATCATCTTCCCTCAGCTTTTACCCTCTCCATGTTGGCGTCATGTGCAAATCCAGGAGCATGATGCTGCCACAGTTCAAGATGTGACACCCAGGAGGACAGCAAACAATATCCTTAAGAATCAAGGTGATGCCCCCCAACCCCATCCCAGCCCTGCCCATCTGCCTCACTGGTCCCCACCCTGTCTGGGAGGCCAGAATGCAGTCACATGCCCTCCATCAAACCAATCACCGGCCAGGGGAGAGATTATCATTTAGCCAATTAATTTCCTGATGAGCCCCTGAAGCTGAGGGTGGAGTGTGTTTGCCCTCAGCCAAGGCCCAATCGCAGGCAACGAATCCCTGAGCTAAACAGGATTCTGTGGGGTTGGCAGAGGTAGGGTCTGGAAGCTGGGTCGGTAACTGGCAAAGCCTGCTACCCCCACTCTTAAATCCCTATAAATTTATCAAGGCAGCAGACCCACTAAGCCAGTTTATGTATCTGATCTTACAAGGAGAGCCAGATTTGAAGATTTGGTCTGGACAACATTGGCTCTGCTGACCTTTAAGTCTTTTTAAAGTCACTGTGTTCATAACTCACTGGAAAGTATGAATCGCAAACAACTTCATCGCACGTTTGAGTTTATTACACCCCCTCCCCGTCTGACCCCGCCTTTGACCTTCACACTTCGCTGTGGCGATCGTCCTCATTGCCCAGGAAGAGGACATGACATGTCTAAGGTAAATTCTGGAAGCTGGATCTTGAACCTTGATACCCAACCTCCCTATTCTGCTCCGCTTCCACCTCCTGATTGTAGCAGCAGCGGCTGCATTACCAGAAGCATCAGTGGCAGTAACAGAGGAGCAGTAACAGAGCAATCGAGTGGGTTTGGCCAAGTGTCAACACAGACCCAAGCTTGTGCTTTGGGTGAAGACATCGAGGTATAGTTGGAGATCTTCCTTGGATTATCCCAAACTTTCATACACTATGAAACCTCAGGGAATGATAAAATACGAGCGATAATTATTCTGATGGAACGCAGACGTGCTTTTTTTCTGAAAAGAACATAATTGTCCATGCATCTCTTTATATTTACCTCATAATTTAGCTCATAATTGTATGTGTGCCTGCTTTCATTTAAGCCCTGTTTTGGTTTTTGGTCCTGCAAGATGAGAAAGGGGGAATCTCCCCAAACAAAAGAAATTTGGTTGAGTAAATCAGGCATACCCAAGTGAAATAATATTATGTAACCATTCATTTTAATGCTTATGCAGAGTTCGTAATGCCTTCAGAAAACTTATGAGACAACACAAGGGGATAAAAGTAGGACACAATTACATACATACACCACAACAATATCATCTCTATGTTAAGGACGATAAAAAAAATTGGCAATAAAGAAACCAAAGCATTAACTGGGTTACCTCTGGGTAGTGAGGTCCTGAGCATTTTTTCCCCTCAGCTTCTTTCTATTTTTTCTCTATATTCTCCAGTCTTTCTACAATACTCATTTTTATGATCAAACAAAAACATAAAGTAGAAGCCAGAGGAAGACTGGGTAGTTTCTGAGGCTAAGGTTTCTTCTTATATAGACAGACCCCGGCAATAAAGGACGAAGCAAGGCAAACCAGGGCCACTTGCAGAGTGAGGAGATGAAAACTGCTTCTTGAAGGATGTTCCTTCTCTGGAGCCAGCTGTGCAGTCTCAGCACAGCTGGCTGACAAGGAGAAAATGGACATAATCCTGCAAATTATATAGTTGGAAATTCACAAGCTGTGTGACTTTGGACAAATTTACCACTCTGACCTTCAGTCTCTTCATCTGTTATGTGAGGATAATAATGTCTGGTGTATAGGGTTGAAATTCTTTCACTCATGCAACAAACTGCTATTGAGGATTCTCTCCTCCCCATTCTAGAGGCTGGAGTTGCAATGGTAATTGAAGAGACAGGGTCCCTGTCCTCCAGCACATTCATTCTAGTGGAGGGTTAGTTAGGATGGAGAGTTGATTTACTTCTTCTAGAAACAGCAAGTGCAAAGGGCCTGGGGCAGGCAAAATTTTGGTGCTTTGCACCAAAGAGGGGGCCTTATGTGTCTGGAGCATAGTTGAGTCTGTAGAGAGTGGGAGCAGGGTGGGGAAAGGTAGGAAAGGGCCAGTCTTGCAGGCCAGGGCAAGAAACGTTGATTTCTTTCTAAGCATAATGGGAAGCCACTTAAGGATTTTTAGCTGCAGACTATCATGATCTGATTTAAAGTTTATGTCTTAAAAAGGCCACTTTGCTGCCATGTAGAGAATGGATGGTAGGACTATGTGAGCCGATCAATACACGAAAGCACTTAACATTGGGTCTGGCACAAAGTAAGTGTCTTAATAAGTGGTAACTGTTTTTCATTATTATCATCATTATCCTTATTATTATTACTACTCTTTTGTCTGCCTAGAACTGGCGCACAATGCTTGCACATTTGGCTTCAGACGATATTGACAAAGCATTCAGACGAGCTGTTGAATTTTCCAAATTTGTTTTCCAGGTGTTTTCACACCCTCAGAGAGGTGATGGTAAAAAGCCAAACTCAAGCTGATACCTGCAGCTGAAAACAACGGTGGACACATTCCTGGATCCAGAATTCTTTCATCCTTTCCGGGGCGAACGCTGGCTATCTCGTTGCTCACAGATGACCCTGGTCTTGATTACAGGTTTCTGCCTCCACCAAAGTACTGGCTGAGCACAGGCCCTGTTGTGAAATCCAGCATATTTGGGTCTATTTAAAAATACCTCCCCTCCTGCCAACTCCTTCCTCAAGGAGGCTCCAAGATGACTTTCTCTGAGAAGCCTCCCGTGCACTCGTCCCTGGCCACACCCATGCAAGACTCTTCTCTCTGCCCCCCCTGGCTCCAGCAGAGCCTTGGCATAACCTTTAACCACTCTGATGGATGTGAATTTCTTCACCTACAGTCAGCGTCCCTAGGGTTATGCTGGTTAATGCAGTGGCCATAAGCCCTGCGTGGCTACTTAAATCCACAGGGAAATGCATACATGTTTAAATAAAATTTAAAATTCAGGTGCTTAGTTGCACTGGCCACATTTCAGGACCTCAGTAGCTGCCAGCATGTAGCACAGTGGCCAGTTTAGATATTGAATAAATCTATCATGGAAGAAAGATCTAGTGGCAGCAGTGCCCCAGGTAGGGAGGGATGAGGTGGTATTTATTGGTTTGGGACTAGCAGGGTGCTGAAGACAGGCCCTTGAGAGGTGGGTGGATCTTAGTTCAAATCCCGGCTCCTAATCTATGATCTTGGTCAAGTGGAATTTCTCTGTGGCGACCCCCATAGGTGGTTGCAAAGCTTATAAAAATTAATACATAAGTCAAAAGGCTAAAAATAAAGCCCAAAGCAGGGGAAGCTCAGAGCGAGCATTTGCTGCTATTATCATGCCCTCCAGTGGCATGGACGGCACTTAGTAGGTCCTGTTCTATGCTGATGGATGACCCGAGAAAATGAATGAAAGAATGAGGGAAAGTGCAGAATTTATTTTTGGCTTTAAAGAAAACAAAATACCTCTTTTGAAACCAAAGATGATTGCTATTAATAATAAGAGCTTCTACTTATTCAGCATTTACTGCATACCAGGCCCTGTGCTAAGCACTTTCGCGCATTCCTCTCTACAGCCTTAAGGGAAAGGTATTGTCAGGAATGGCCTCCTTTTGGAGATGAGGAAACTGAGACTCAGAGGGAGGAAGAAAAAGCACAGGAACTGTTGAGGCTGCACCTCTGCCTTGGCGGAGATGTAACTGCTTCTAGAATATTGGCTGCCATGATTGCTTCTGGAAGGATTTCTGTCTTACCCTCTCTGTTCTGCTCTCTTGGAGGGCTGGGGACTGGAGGCCCATGCAGGGAGGGGCTGTGACCTGGACTCTCCTACCCCTTGGGGAGCGACAGGACTCCCCAGCGTGGGAACACACCTGCAAAACGGAAGGCAGCTCAGTTTTCTTTCCTGTTCACAGAGAGACTTTTGACCCTGGTTTCTCAGATTCTTTTCTTCCCCCATCCATCCCCAGGGCGCCGGCCCTCTGGCTGTGCCCACCCCTCCCCACCGCCCCACGCGCACCCCTGAGCCATGGCGAAGCGGCAGACAAGGGCGCCTTTCTTCAAAGTGGTTCGCCTTCATCTCATAAATTCTCAGCCCCAGCCCGATTGGCTGCGACGAAAGGGAGCTGGCCCCCGCTCGGCTCGTCAGATACAAAGTGAGTTGTGTGCAGTGTGCCCACGTGAGACCAATCACAGGGGCCTGCGCCTCTCAGAAATCCCAAAGGATAAAATACCAGAGCCCCAACACAGCCAGCGACAATCCCGGTCACAGGATCAAAATTATCTATGGCCAGACAAAGGGACGCAGATAGCAGGGGAACCAGGACAACCGAGAGGCAATGGGAACAGAGTCGTCCCTACTAACCTGAAGGCCTGAAGGCCTTTTAACTTTTCCCGGCCTTTCTACTTCCGGTCAATGGAGTCTGTGTGCAGTGAGGCAGTGTCCAAACCCAGAGGGGACGGTCCCCCATTCAACCCACCTTGATGGTCCCTTTCACCACTTTCCAGAACTTGCCTCTCCCATGGAGCCGGTCCAGCGTTTCCAATTTTTAGGCACTAAAATTAGTCCAACTGTGCCTTCTAATTCTGTAGACACAACCCAGCTTGTGCAAATGTCCCTCTCTTCCATTTCTGGGTGAATTTTTGCATATTCCAGGCTGCCAATTTTGTCGAGTGTTCTTGGGGGAAGAGAGAAGTTTAAAATCATCTCGCTGCTTATCATGAAGCAAATGCTGCAGAACCCACAGTTCTGATTCAGAGAGGATGCTGTGCATAACAGCCGTGAAAAGAAAAATGCAGACACGTGGCGCCATAGATCTTGCTGCACACGCTGTAAGGAGACAACTAATTCCGTGAGCCCTTGCTAGGGACTCCTGGCTTTGACCTACTTGACACAATTTTATTTGCCCCTCACAACCACCTTCCCGGAGGTACATAGCAGTGCTATCCCCATTGTACACATGACATGAGGAAACTCAGGCCCAACTAAAAAGCAAGTAACTTGTTCAAAGATGCAGCTAGACAGTGACAGTGTTGAGATTTGAACCCAGCTCTCCTTGGAAAAGACTGCCATTTAAACCTCAGTGCTTACTAAGTGGTCATTATTACGATCACTGTGGCCAAATACAGTATATTAGTTGCAGGAATGGAAAGAGGCTCACAGGGTACAAGTGGAAACACAAGCAATGAACTTACATATAGATTAGGATACGACTTTTAAAGGATGGATAAATGACAGCTAGATGGAGGGGAGAGAATATACTCAATCTTTGCCAAAAAGATTTTTTGTTTCCTTTCATGATTCTTGGTGAAGCTTGTGTACCTTTGGCCATTGGGAAAGAAGAGTGTGTGCATGTGAGTGTGTGCACATGTGTGTACATACTTTAAAAGCAAGAGGGAAGATGGCAAACTAGACCAAAAAACCGGATTCTCAGTTGTTTAAATCCTGCCCCAAATTGCAGTTTGGGAAGTTCAAAGTCATCTTGAAGTGATGAATCAAAAGTCTTAAGCCATCTGCCCCCTGGAGCAGGAACATCCAAGTGACAGTGATGGTAACCCTTAAAACAATGCCCTGGAGGGTGGTGTCTGAGCCAGGAAACACAGAATGGGGGAGGGGGTGAAGCTCACCTAAGCAAAGATAAAGATTTTCCTCAGATCACGTCCACTGCTCCCATTCAGTCAGCTCCAGCTTTATCGAAAAATACCAGAGCAGCCTGGCCCCCAAGACAAGCCCCTGTGCATCTGGCGGGAGGCAGCCTGGCTGATGCCAGGCCTATATTTTTCATTTCTTGTTTTAACAGTCATAAACGCCTTCCGATGCCAAAGCAGAACATGACTGTAATCCAGATAAAATAAAATGCCTAAACCCTGAAAACTATACAGAGATTTACAAGCCAATTTTAAAAAGCGAGAGCCTGGTTTCCAAGCCTGGCACATTCCACGAGGCAGGAGCAGAGTGTTGCCCTGTGGCCCTGCCTTCTGGGGAGGCCCAGGCCCAGGACAGGTCGCTCAGACCTGAAATTCACGGCCCCTTGGCATACGGAACCCAGGCATACGCTGCCTTCAACATGGACTCTGCTCGGATTTCAGGGCTGTGGGGTCGCTTGGCTTTCAGGAGACCTAATATGTTCCAACTCCCCCCATCTCTGCCTCCTCTCCACCCCCAGCTGTTGCAGAAAACCGCGGTCAACTCTTTCTTGCTCTCAGCAGCCAAGTTTTCTCTAAGTAAACACAGAATGTAGCAGAAGATCAGTTCTGTTCCATTCCTGGCGCTTTAGGTTGGGTCAAGGCTGGCCCGGGACCAATCCCAAGAATGCAGGCAAGGGTGGGTTCTGGGGTAACCATGGGCTGTCACTTAGCAAAGTCTCTCTATGTGCTAAGTGCCTTCTTCCCAAGAACTTCTATTGATCCCATGGGGTGGGGCCTTAATATATTGAATTTCACCTCTTCTGTCCAGGTCCACTCACTCCATTCTCCCCTTGTTCTGAGCCTCAGAGACTGACCTGGGGGACAGCATGGAGTGGGCTCCTAAGCACTCTGGCCTCTAGCTGGTTTTGCTCAAGAAAAGTGCTGGCAGCAGATCAGAGGAAGGCAGACGAAGAGTTTGGGACATTAATCCCCCAGGCTCCTCCTTACTAGGTTGCAGTGAGAGAGCTGTATCTCTTCCAAAAGCCCCAGCTCCTGTTTGGGGGATTCTCTCCATACAGCATGCCCTTCCAGGTTGTAGAATTAACCCTTCTGCTACTCCTACAGCCCCAGAGATCAGAACAGCACCTCCCTTTGCTAGCCTCAGGTATTGCACTCTGTCCTTGCTCCCCAGAAGCCCTGTCCACACCTGTGCAAATAATCTCTGTATTAAATTCTCCTCAAATTCTGCAGTTTGAATGTACCCTCTGTTTCTTGCCAGGCTCTTGATCAGTGCATTTGTTATCATCTCTGGTTTATAGAAGAGGAAAATGAAGCTCAGAGAAATTAGGTCACTTGCCCAAGATCAGTCTCACTTCAGTTCTCAACCTCTTAACTGCTATAATAAATATACCACATACCATATACATATATTTTAATATATATAAAGTATAGGTTTATATAAATTAATCTTTTATTTGATGCCTGGCATGTGCTAAGCACTCTGTGCCTGTATTTCATGAATCCTCACCAACTTTACTATAGATAATACTAGTTCCATTTACAGTTGAGAAAGCTGAGGCTCAGGCAAGGGAATTTCCTTGCCCACCACTACCAAGTTATAAGGAGGCAGAGCTGAGGCATGAACCCAGGGCTGCCTCAGTCTCCTGACCACCTCAGATAACCTGCCATGTGCAGAAATTGTGAGGACATGCAGAAGTCAGGAGAGAGTGGGTAGGACTGGAGAAGTGTCTGGTTTATTAGGTCCAAGACACATGTTTGAGTGGAAGATGGAGCTAGAGGATTGTGGGAATGGAGGAGGGTGCCTGGCCAGGCCAGGAGAAAGGTTGGGTGGCCTGCAGCTCCTGAGTATTAGTGCTAGGTGAATGGAGCTCTTAGGGGGTTCATTCATGTTGACGGACAATCACTGAGTGCCTACTGTGTGCTCAGCACAGTGCTAGACTCTGGAGCAGTCTGTCTTGGGATGGAGGAGTCAAAATAAACCCATCCTACAATGTGGAACTAGTATGGCTTGGGGCTCAGGTGTGAGGTCCTTTGTCCTGCCCACTTCCTCATCCCTGGAAGCCCTATTATTCAGGGCCAATCTCCAAAACACGTCTCCACACCAGGTGTCTCACTGGAGTCCACATATACCCAGCTCTCTGCCTTTCTTCCTGGTCCCTAGTGTCTGCTGATCACATTTCTCTTGTCTACCTCAAAATGCCAACCCTTCCCACAACTGAGCTCACCTATCTATCATCTACTTTCTAGCCTTATTAAATTATAATTGACATGTCATAATCTACATGAATTCAAACTGTATAATTTAATGTTTTCACATATGTATATACCCATGAAACTATCACCTCATCCAAGATAATATACTATCACTTCCTAAAGTTTCCTTTCCACGTGTGTTCTGCCTTCCTGCCT